TCACAAAAAAATCACACTTGGTGGGACGCTCCTTGAAGAAGATGACTCCCATTCTCACAGAGGGCTGATCTAAGAAGTCTTGCACAGGGGCACAGTGTGCCACGGCCTGAACATCAACTTCTGCAGGACCCTGGGGCTTGCCTCTGTGCAAGGTCTCACCTTCCCACTGTGTGTAAGTTCTTCTGTGTGAAGGTATGCTAAATGTCAGAGGACAGGAAATACTCCTGTGTGCTGGTCTCAATGGTTCTGGTGACAATTGCCCTCTCAGTTACACAGATAATTTCAAGTGACCTGTTTGTGTACAAGGCAAAAAGAAAACTCTAGTAAGATAACACTACTATGACTGCCAAGGCAGTCATGGTCAGTGTGAGAAAATCTGCTCTTCACGCTGCCCATACACGGCTAGCTCTACCCCTCTCATAGGATGATGTTAAAACACAGTCCTAATTTCAGAAGCACTCACTGTTGTCGCACAAGACACTCTTTAAGAAGGCATTTGAAAACATTAAACTAGTGAAATACGGAGACAGACATGTTTTAGGAAAATGTTTTAACAGAGAAGAGAGAGAAAAGGATAGGTTTGGACAATATTAATTAGGAAGACATGACAGAAATTAGAAAAATGAGGATGTGGATGGAGCAGCAGAGGCCAAACGATTACCCTAAAGCGTCAAATAAGATGTAGATAAATTAAAGCTGGAAGGATTGCTTTACTGGTGCACTGGAAACTCCTCATTCCAGTCTCCTCTTTCTGAGAGCAGTGAGCACTTGGGTCTGCTGGCTCTTTGGACACCATTGAGCAGCAGACACTGTCCTGCCAGTTCTGCTCCATGCCCCTCCTTGCTCCCCACATGTCTCCTTGGCATGCGCCCATGTCCCATACCCACTAGTGTGACAGCTTCAGTTTCGTCCCATGGAACAATGACTCCAGGAGGCTGTGAAGGTTCGCTCTTATGCCATAGAGATACCATGGTTTCCCTGCACTCCGCTTGACATGTTCTGACCTCAAGTGTGAGAATCCACAACTGCTAGATGTTTTTCTCCTTTTCTATGCATTTAAGACAGACTTTCACACTGGCAGAAGGGATATCCCACCTCTTTTTGAAATGCTCAGCATTAAACATAGCAAGGAAC